GGGACCAGTGGTGAGAGTGGCGATATCTGGAGGGTGGAGGGAAGGTGGGGTGGAAAGGGGAACCAATTACAAGAATCTACTTATAACCTCCTCCCTGGGGATGGACAACAGAAAAGTGGGCAAAGGGAGACATTGGACAGTGTAAGATATGACCAAATAATAATTTATAAATTATCAAGGGTTCATGAGGCAGGGGGGAGTGTGGAGGGAGGGGGAAATGAGGAGTTGGTGTTAAGGGCTCAAGTAGAAAGCAAATGTTTTGAGAATGATGATGGCAACAAATATACAAATGTGCTTGACACAATGCATGCATTTATGGATTGTGATAAGAATTGTACGAGCCCCAATAAAATGATAAAAAAAGTGCTGTAAGAGCCCCCAACAAAATGATTAAAATAAATAAATAGAGAATGATGGCAACATATGTAGCAATATGTTTCATACCACTGATGTCTGTATTATTCTAAGAACTGTAAGAACCCCCAATAAAATGATCTTTTTATAAAAAAAAGAATGTTAAAAAAAAAATTGAATATTGCAAGTGAGGATGAGAACACCAATCAAGAAGCAATATGGAAATATCTTCAATCATTTTTGTTTTTTGTCTAGTATTATAAAATATTTTCATTAATATTTCCAAACTCACAACAATCTAGTTTTGTGTACCTCTTTTGTATTTAAGTATTTCTTATTTATTGGGTATAAAAAATAATAAACTACCTTACAATTTATCTTTTTTTATGCTCGGAACTGTCAAGAAGGCAGCAAACAGTCTGTTACATTATTTGAGTCCCACTGCTGGACGGGACGGACTAGTTTATGAAGCACAGAGCCTTGCTGGTAGTATGATTTGCCTAACACTGCACAAGGATCTAAACCCAGGAAGAGAAACCTCAACTTAGTACCTCCGTTTGAGGATTTCATTTTACTGCCAGAAGTTTGAGAGAAACCTAAGTGGTAGTGACGCCAGAGGCCACAGTCCCTTCCTATGGAGGGTTCTCTGAACGATGCCATTCTCCTCCCCCCTGTGCTAGGGTCGTCTGCCCTGAGGAGCTCCGGTCTGTCTCCGTCTGCTGTTCTTAAATTCACTGTTAATTAGATGATCTGTTTTAATTTAGTAGACATTGCATAATCAAGGGGCAAAGGTTAAAGAAAGGGAACAACACTTCTCATCTCTGGGGTGGTGAGAATGTGCTGTTCTTTCAGGGTTACCTGTGGACTTTTAAATATAGACAGGTAACTCGTGAAGTGTACCATTCAGTGGTTTTATTTTTGTGAAGGTGTACTGCTACAACTTCTAATTCCAGAACATTCTCACCACCCAAAAAAGGAATCCCCTACACGGCAGGCCCATAAAGAGACCAAATCTTGTCCTCCCCTCCCACAGCCCTTAACCATCACTGATCTGCTCCTGGTCTTTATCGGCCTGCCTATTTCGGACAGCATCTACAAAGGAACCACTCCATAGGTGGCCTTGTGCAGTTGGCTTCTTTTACTTCGTATGAGGTTTCACTTAGCATCCTGTTGATCTGTGTTGGAGCAGCTATCGGCACTTCATTGCTTTTGAGGGCTGCATAGTAGTCCACTGTGTGTCTACACAGCCCCTTGTTCATCCACCCATCAGCCAGGGGACACTCAACCGGGCTGGTCCCAACTTTCAGACAATTATGAAAGTGGGTATTTTAGGCTTTAGGCAGGACCAGGGCTGGAGATTTGTTTATAGCATAATGGCTCCATGTTAGGTTGCTATCTGTAAGGTTAGCCATCCAAAACCCCCAAATGCTCTTGTGGGGAAAAGACCTTTCATTTCAACAAACAGTTATAGTCTTGGAAACTCACCAGGGGCACCTCTACCCTGTCTTACAGGGTCACTATGTGGCAGAATCAACTCAATGGCAGTGAGTTTAGGGTTGCTTTGCTTGTTTTTAATCTCTAGTCTGTAGGAAACCCTTAATAAATGTTTGTTAAATGACTAGGTCCAGCAGAACAGAAAGCTCAGTGTCTGAGGCCAAAGGCTCCAGCCACCTAGTTTTCACAGAGGTCTGCACAGTGTGCCACCCAGGAACTATGGGCTGGGAAGTGTCCTTGAGGTAACTCCATTTCGTTTTGAACTCTCTCCTATGACCACACCATATACAAACACATTCTAATGTTATAAGGTCTACATTGATAGGAGTAGTAGATGGTATAAACTGAGCAGTAGTAATATAAACTGATAGAACTGGCAGATGGCTTGGGGGGTGGGTTGACCAGGTGGCAGAGGGGCTATAGGAATTGAAGTCCTGTCTATGACATTTTCTCAGTGGCTCCAGAGACGCCACAATGAAACCAAGTTTGCAAAATAACGGAACCAGACTGATCCCTTAATTTCATAAATGAGGGCATGGATCCTGTCGGGTAAGATAAGTCACACAATTAGTGACAGCATGGGAAAATGACTCAGCTCACAGAACGTTCCTCTACTGAATTCAGCCTGAGCACCAGTTTGAAACATCCCATAAGCCTGCTGCGTCTAAAATGTAACTAGGATCCGTTGTATTGTCCCCATGTAGTAATATTTTAAGCGCAACATCAATTTTATGGATAAAATCTTAAGAGGACTAGGAGATATGACATACTGAGTTGTATAAGAACCGTTATTGCGCTATGGCAAATTTCCCTGTGGAAGTTTCTAGGGGACACTAAGTGAAGGGAAGCTGTGATCCGGGACAAGGTCAAAGAGAGACCTGTTTGGAATTTAGTTCCTGGGCACTGCTTGTGAAGGGTGAGGGAAGCCCAGGAGTAGCCTGAACAGGTGTAACCCCTCTTGCTGTTTTTTTGGGTAATATTTTCGTCCTTTCCTGCTTAATCGATCCTCATATCTACAAGGCAAGTTCCAAACTGCTGAGCGTGGCATTCATTCGGGGATCGTGTATCTCTCTCCACGCCCCAAACCACCTTCTTGCACCTTCCCAGGCTAGACCGGTGCTCTTGTTTAGGCATCTTTGGATTCCCAATGCCAAAGGTCCAGGTCCTGGCGCAGCGACCGACCGCGGTGCGTCCAGACGCGTCTGGTGAATCTCCTCAAATGGAACTGGAAGCCCTGCGGGCTGCCACAAGAGCCAGCGAATCCGTCTTGGACGAAGTACAACCAGACTGCTCCTTGGAAGTGGGCATCGTGAACCATCGCCTCCCGTACTCTGGACATTTACTTAGGAAAGACCAGTCCCTGGAGAAAGGCACCGTGCTTGGCAAAGGGCCCTTGACGGAATGGACTGGCACAGTCGCTACAACATGGCTCACAGGGAACAACGATCGATCGCGATGAAGGCACGAGAGCCTGCAGGGCCGCCCCGGCAGGCCGTGCAGCGCCGCTGTGAGTCACGCGGACTCGGCGGCTATCCATCGCTGTTCCCGGGGCCGCGACTTCCAGCGGCTCCACGTCCTCTCTCGGCTCTCTCGGCGGGCGCCCGTGGTTTCCTTTCCTCCTCCCTGTGCCCCGAAAGCAGTTCCCGGCGCTCCGCCAAAGCCCGGCGGGGCAGAAAAGTCCTGCAGGAGGAAAGCAGCACACGGTCCCCCAGTAAACGAGACGCGCGCGCGCGCGCCCGGGGGCTGTGGCAACCATCCAAGCCACCAGGCCACCAGGCCTCCAAACCGGCTCCGGAGGACCCATTGGCTCACTCCGATTGGCCCACCGGACGTCTCTATGGTTCCGACGGCCTAGACGTGCCGAGAGAGCACTTCCCGGAAGGCGGCGGCGCGCGCGTCTGGCCGGGCCCTGATGGCACGCGGGGACGGTAAGGGCGCCCGGCCTCCGAGTGGCCTCGGTCCCGGGGCGGGGGTGAAGTGGGGCGGGTGCTGGAGCCCCGTCGTGTGCGGAGGACTGCGATGTGGGCCGGAAGGGGAAGGAGGCCGGGGCAGCCGGCGGGCCTCCTCCAGAAAGCTCAGGCTCCCGGGAGAAGGACGGACGCCTGGGGCTCGCAGTGCCCTCGCAGCCTGTAAGGACTGCGGCGCGCAGGGTTGAACCTTGTCCGGTCTGTAGCGCATAGTCACCCCCTAAAGTGGCTCTTACTCCGTGTCATTCAGGGCCACGAGTCCGATTGAACGTATGTCGATTCCGGGCGTTGCATGTGGTACCCTACGGTTCGGATGGAGAGCCCGTCTCTGGCTTTGGGGGCTACAGATTTGAGTTTCTGAGACCACGGGTCGGTATGGTAGCAAGCACCAGGAGCTCTAAGAGCCGAAATCGAGTAAGAACAGCAGTCCCGGATCTACTCGTTGCTAGCTAGTGATACCGGAACCTCAAGGAGATGCACCGCTTTTCCAGTTTTCCCAATTTCTTGCCTTTCAGAAGGTTCAGGCATTGCCACTTTTTTATCGTTCAGTTCAGTGGAAAAGAAATTGAGATTTCTGGCGCTGACACGGCTTTGGGATGTCAACGGTTGTACTGTATTCGAGCAACTGAACCTCCTTATGCTTGTTTCTTCGAGTGTAAATTATGGCCAGTAATACTTAGGTTGCTGGGAGGGTTAACTGAGACGATCGTTACGAAGTTATTAGTTACAGGCTGACTGGCATTGGAGAACAAGAGTTAGAGATAATTGTTTTACCCATATTGAAACCTGAGAGAAGGCTGAGTTTTGAGATGTAAAGGCCTCTAGGAGTCCTGGTGACCCGCCCAGTGTTGGGCTAACTCTATGGTCGGTACTTAAAACCACCTGCTCCCAGGGGGACGTAGAGGCTATTTGCTTTTTATGTTTTACCGCTGAGGGAGGGTAGGGGAAATGAGCTGATACCAAGGGCTCAAGTAGAAACAGTGTTTGAAAATCACGGCAACCTATGTACAAATGTGCTTGACACAGTGGGTGGATGGATGGATGGTGATAAGAGCTGTAAGAGCCCCCAATACGATTTTTAAAATGTTTACAGCCTTGGACACTCCATAGAGGGTTGCTGTGTGTCATAATTAACTAGATGGCAGGTGGTTTTAAAGGATGCCATATTTGAGTCTGTCTTCTCAACAGTATCCAGAGGCAAGATAAGGTTATTTCTTCAGTGGACACTTTTCTGTTGGGACTATTATGTTAGGTCTTCAAGTATTGACCTGCACAGTAGAAATGTGCAAACAGTCATCCTGAATGTCCCACTTACTGGCCTTAGATCGGTGACCATTTTTAAACTTAATATATAATATTTAGGAGTAAACTTAATATATAATATTTGTGATTTTTTTTCCTTCCAAATCTACTGTGAGACCGTATTAAACTCAAATGAAAGTTGTTACTATGGGAGCTAAGAATTATTCCAGTGCTGCTCACTAACCAGCTTTATTTCCTGTTATACTGTTATATAGGAACTGCCTATAGATCTTAGTACAATTTAATGTAGTGAGTTGTCAACATGACTAGTCTTTAGTTTTTAATGTTCTGTGCCATCTTAACTGTTTTGGAGGCAAATTTGGTATTTGTTGGGTGTCGCACTGCATCTAAAAGGAACACTGTGTGACAGGAAAGAAAGGCAGCTCGTTGGTGATGTAGGAGAGAGAGGACCAACTGTAGTCAGGCACCTGAGCTCACACTCTGGCTTCATCCCCTACTAACTATAATCCCAGGCAGGAACCCCAGGCCTTGGGTCCTCGAACTACAAATAGGGATGCTTTGCCTCTTACAGAGCTGCCAGGGTTAAATGAGGCATATGACAGTATGTGTAGGCCACCTGTTAGCATTATCAAACGACAAACCGACTTTGTCGCCAAGAGCAGCTTGGGGGGGGGGGGGGCGTTGAGCTGCTGACCTTGCAGTTAGCAGTCCATCTCCTCCCATAATTTAGATGAGCAGGTACCTCAGTAGTAGACTGGGAAGATGAGATAAGATAATCCAGTGTCAAGCCCTGTTTGGCATGTGGTGCCCTCCCGTCTAGCTAGGTGTTGTTCTACACATCAGCCCTTCTGAACGTGCTGTGTAGATGTTGGCTTCCCTGTGATCAGGCAGTGTGGGGAGCAGAGAACGGGAAGAGAGTGCATACTACCCTGTAGTCTCATAGATCAAGGAGCCTGGCAGCCTGGGGTTCTGGGGTAGAGGGAGGCCTTCACCCTTGTAAGTTGGAGGTGAGTCCCAATCACATTCTCATAATTAATATTGTTCCTCATTATCTCCTCCCATCATAATGCTACCTTAACGTTACCTCTTACAAGCTCATGGCTGATGGCTATGTAGCCGGCAGCTTTAGCTATAGGAGCCGACCTGTGCTATGGCTCACTAGGCTGAGGACAGCCGCTCCCCTTTACCTGCCTCCAGACACTGGTGTTAGGTTACTCCTCCAATGTGCTCAGGGACCCTTAGGGTTAGGGTACAGCCCACTTTGTATGTGGTTACCTGTGATTGGGGGGCTTGCATGCCTCCTGAATGTATATGTCTTGGTTGGGAATATATTCTCTCTCCTTGTGAGGATCTGGCTGCTGAAGTCATGATGGTTCCGGAGGTGAGCAATTGCCTGCTGTATCTTGTCTGATGTCTATTTTACCCTCAATTACACAGCCACCCCTTGGGCCCATTCAACTGTGGGGGCTGGTACCCCACAAGACAGGATCACTGACCCTCTCCTCCCACTGCCTCCTCAGGGCTCATGAGAGAACTTGTATAAGAGCAGCAAGATGCAGTTGGTGGGTGATTTTAGTACCTTCTCCTTTCCTCTTAAAGGGATCATTGTGACTTCCGCCCTGGTGAGGACCTAAGGACAGAGCCCTTCAGCTCACCATGAGTGTCACCCCAGAAGTCAAGAGCCGCGGGATGAAGTTTGCTGAGGAGCAGCTGCTGAAGCACGGGTGGACTCCAGGTGCCCCGGCCTCCACACCCTCGACTCTGCTCATTCTGCCCAGGGCGGGCAGCTGGTCAGGCACTCAGGGACCCCCCAGGTGCCCCGGCCTCCACACCCTCGACTCTGCTCATTCTGCCCAGGGCGGGCAGCTGGTCAGGCACTCAGGGACCCCCCAGGTGCCCCGGCCTCCACACCCTCGACTCTGCTCATTCTGCCCAGGGCGGGCAGCTGGTCAGGCACTCAGGGACCCCCCAGGTGCCCCGGCCTCCACACCCTCGACTCTGCTCATTCTGCCCAGGGCGGGCAGCTGGTCAGGCACTCAGGGACCCCCCAGGTGCCCCGGCCTCCACACCCTCGACTCTGCTCATGCTGCCCAGGCACTCAGGGCCCCTAAAGACCATTCAGTTAGCAGGAGGAGAAGCTAGTTTAAGAAGCTTGCAGAAGACATTTTCTGACTTTTCCAGAAATAGGAAGCATGGGAGAAATTTGACTTAAGTAACGAGAAAGAAAAAGGGGGTGTGCCGCATGATGTGGTGCTAAAAGGAATGGAACTAAGATTGCTTCCGGGAGGGGTGGAGTGTGTGTGTAGAACAGCAAGGAGTGGCAGGTGGGGTGGGGAGCTGGGGGGGCGTGCCTTATGAGGGCTTGGGGCAGCAGCAGGGTGAACCAAGTCTCACTGTGTTCTACAGGCAAAGGTCTGGGCCGGAAGGAGAATGGCATCACCCAGGCCATCAGGGTGACCCTGAAGCAGGATACTCATGGGGTGAGACAGGGAAGCCAGCGGGGATGGGAGATGGCAACCCTCGAGGGGAGGGCAGACGGGGCAGCCCCTCGTCCATTTCCTTCCCTGGCAGGTGGGACATGACCCCGCCAAGGACTTCACAAACCACTGGTGGAATGAGCTCTTCAACACGACGGCCGCCAGCTTAGTGGTGGAGTCTGGGCAGGTCAGTGACTCTGATAGAGACGGGTCCAGGAAGCACAAGGGCCTGGGGGTCTGGGGTGATGGTGGAGACGTGGCATGCCACCCATCCACTCATGGGCACGTTCCCACAGGATGGAGTTCAGATAAAGCGCCTTTCTAAGGAGACTGCCCGGCAGAGTCGCCCCAAGCCCAATTTGCTGTATCAGAAGTTTGTGAAGGTACAGAGGCCGGGGGGAGGTTCCCCTTCCCTGCTGGTAGGTGCCATCGAGCTGATTCCAACTCACGGTGATGTGGACAACAGAAGCCATCCTCACAGTTGTCCCACTGGAGCCGCCAGTCTCCGTGCATCTTGCCGAGGGTCCTCCTCGCTTGAGCTGCCCCTCTGCTTTACGAAGCATGGTGCCCTTCTCCAGGGACTGGGCTCTCTTAACACATCCCAAGTGTGTGAGGTGGACGACACCTTGCCATCCTGGCCTCCAAGGGCGCTCTGCCCGTTCTTCTCCCAAGACAGATTTGCTTGTCCCTTTGGCAGTCCACGGTGCTTTGAATATTCTTCGCCAGCACCACCAATCAGATGCATCATTTCTTCTCTGGGTTTTCTTATTCAGTGTCCCACTTGCACATGCATACAAGGCTGGCTTGGTCCTCAAGGTAACATCTTGGCTTTTCAACACTTTAAAGATACGGTGTGCAGCAGGTTTGCTCAGTGCAAGGCGCCCTTTGATCTCTTAACTGCTGCTTCCTTGAGGAGTAATTGCGGATCTAAGCAAAATGAAATCCTGGACAACGTTTTCTTTTCTCCATCGATTATGTGAGCTCTCGATCCAGTTGTGAGGACTTGGGTCCTCTTCACGCTGATTTGTAATCTACCCTGAAGGCTGCAGTCCTTGCTCTTCAGCACGGGCTTCAAGCCCTCTTTCAGTCAGCAAGCTTGTCGTCTGCATATCGCAGGTTGTCAGTGAGCCTTCTTTCAATCACGATGCCATTCTTCAACTAATCCAGCTTCTCGAATGCTTTGCTTGCACTGTGTAATAGGAAGCGAATCTTTAATGATCGTCTGTGAAACGCCCGGGGCTTTACACGTCACCTACTACGTCTTCTGTTTCTCTGTGTCTCGGCTGCTATCTTTTCCCCCACCCCGGTTTTTGCCATCATCTTGTGCTAATTTCTGTAAGGTTCCTCACCTCTAGCAACACACACCACCCAGCCAGTGCATCCTCTGACAGTATCCCGAGTTATAACACAGACTCCATCGAGCCCTTGGCCCCTCTCTGATCTAGGCTGCATGACGACCAGTCCCGACCATCAGCGTGGCAGACGGGACCACGGGGCCATTCATGCCTTGTCCCTGGCCCTGTGCTCTTCTCAGCTGTCTCTCCTGCCGCTTCCCTCCAGGGCCTTGACTGAAGCCAGACGGGACCCTTATCAAGCGTTCGCCATCAGACTTTTCCTTCCACATGCCATTCCTTCTGTCTGGGATCTTCTTATCCTTTGCCTGCTAACTCCCTCGTCTCCAGAGCGAGCTTTTCCTGCATGTTACTTCCAGAACCTCTTACCTGAATCTGGAGCTAGGCACCTCTCCGACACCAGAAGCAGCTCGTCCTCTTGCCTATGTTCTGCCACACGCTTCTCCGCCAGTGGAAGCTCTTTGGGCTGGACCCATCTCATCTCTGCTCTGCACCCCCAGCCCCTTGGCCTCTAGGTCAAACGGAGGTACTTCTTTACTCCTCACTGGTTAAATGTACATGGGTACTGGGGTGGAGACGGTGTGTGTATACACACACACACACAAAACCTGATGACCCAGAGCCCCTCCCGTGACGTTAAGAGCTTAGTCACTACCCACTTCCAGAGCTGCCCCCCCTCTCAGAAATTGCTGCGCACCCCTGCCCAGGTGGGAGCATGCAGGATGGTGTAGCTGTGTGGGTCTGCAGTGTGGGGGGCTGGCAGATTTAAGGGAATAGGGTTGACAGTGGTGTTGAGCGGCCCTTGTCCACCCCGTGACCCCTCTCTCTAGACGGCTACGTTGACTTCAAGCGGGGAGAAGCCAGACAAGGACATGGAGACTTACAGTGATGACGACAGCCAGAGGCCCAAGTGCCCCAAGATGTGAGACTTAACATAGCGCTGGGGAGTGTGGGAGGAGATGCCCATACACCTCAGGGGAAAGGACCAAGTCTGCTGCTTGCCCTGAGCTTCTTGGGGGTGGAACTCTCTTGCACGAGTCTTTGTATCAAAAACAAAACAAACCCCCCACCAAATCCTGAACAGTGATTGTGGAAGCTGCTCCGTGCTGAGGGACTGTTGTAGAGGGAAGGAGAGGTTCGGCCTTCTCTCCAGCTCTGTGTGTAACTCCTGCTCTCTCCCCAGTGTAACTGATGAGATGCTGCTCCAGGCCTGCGAGGGGCGAACAGCACACAAGTAAGAACAGCCCCTTAGGCTGGCTTCCCTCCCCTCCTGAGCCCACCTGGAGGAAGCCTGTGCCACCACGGCCTGAGTTCTCTTCTCCCCAAGGAGTCATTCCTACCTGCCCCCTCCTGCCTGAAGATGAAGCCTGTCCCCACCCTACCCCGGTGCCCAGGAGAAGGCCCATTTCTCTGTCTCCTGGGCCTGACTTTGGCCCTGTCTCTTTCAGGGCAGCCCGTCTTGGGATCACGATGAAGGCCAAGCTTGCTCGGCTGGAAGCCCAGGAGCAGGCCTTCCTAGCTCGTCTAGGAGGCCAGGGCCAGGAGGCCCCTCAACCACAGTGTGACAGCAAGCTCCCCCGAAACAAGAAAAAGAAACAGCAGGAAGAGGTTACATCCACTGAAAGGCCCGGGGAAGGGGAGCACCCAGAACAGACTGAACCGAGTGTGAGGAAGCGCAAGAAGAAACGGCACCATCGGGGAGTCTCTGAGGAGAGCGGGGCAGCGCCTGCAGAAGCGAGGAACCCTGGAAAACTGGAGCGAGAGGAAACTGAGCAGCCCCTCAGGAGAAGGAAGAAGAAGCGGCGGCCAGAGGAGGGGATCTCTGATGGAGGAGGGAAGGAAGCTGCCGTGGATGACCGGGCAGAGGAGGGGGAGAGCATGGCATGCACTGACCCCTGCAGCAGAAGCAAGAAGAAGAGGAGGCAGCGGCTTGGGAAGGAAGAGGGGGAGGGTGGCTGGAACACGGAGGATGGCGGGGAGGCAGCTTCTGCAGATGGGAGGACCAGGGGGGCAGCAAACAGAGCGTGCAGTGACCCAAGTTGCAAGAGAAGAAAGAAGAGACGGGGGTGTGGAGAGGAGGAGGTCTTGGAGGGGAGGGATGAGGCTGAGGGAGCTGAGGATGAGCAAACAGAGAGTAGGACACACAGCAGTGCCAGCAGCAGGGCTCAGAGGAAGCATCCAGAGAAGGAAAGAGCTGGAGGCAACACTGGCCACAGGGCCAAAAAGAAGAAACGGAAGGAGAGAGACTGACGGCCTGGTCAGAGTGGGCTGAGGTCTAATGCACGCCTTTCAACAAGGATCCCCTCCCGCAGAGGGCACCGAGTTCTGGAACACCAACCATGCTGCCGACAAGACCGGCTGAGGTTAGGGAGCAGGTGTGGATCCTTTTGTACTTCTAACCCAGAGATGATGAAGTCGGATGCCTACAGGAGCCACGTAGCTCAGGGACAGGGACTGCAATCCCAGAGAGCAGGAATGCAGAGACCCTTTAAAGGGCCATCCCTGCCTCCAGTCCATCCCTGAATGCTGACACACAGACTTTTAAAGAGAAGCTCAAAATATACGTATTTGAAATGTTCTGAGTTTTACATAAAAACATACCAGTTTCTAACATTCTTATCAGGTAACTGAATACATATCCGCCAGGGCTCCTAGAACATCCTTATCTATCCTGCTCTTTCCATTCCTAACTTGGGCTCCAGGGCAGGTCTGGAATTAACCAGAAACCCAATTCACTGCCATCGAGTCAATTCCATCTCAGTGGCCCTGAGAGACTAGGTAGAACTGGCCCACCCAACCTGTGACCCCATGTTAAGAATCACTGTGTATGGAAAACGATTCCTTGCTTGGATGTCTTGTCTATTTCAGCACTTAGCAGTGGAATTTTCATTGCCTCCAAATGACAGGTCTGGGCAAGGCACTACGTCTTTATTGGGAGGCACACCCACCCACCTGCCCTCACTGCAGACGGTAGACACACTCAGTGTCTGGGTAAGAGGGCAGGTTCAACTGATACTTCTTTTCCAGAGCAGGCGGCACAAAACGGCCCCCCAGATAGTGGTAGCGACCCGTAAAGTGGGCAGCAGACTTCTTGGGGGCCGTGAGGGAGATGAGCAAGTCTGGCTGGAGCCCTTCTGCGTTTCCCTTCTCCACATCCCATCCTGGAAAGAGAACGACACATGACTAGTACTAGAGAGCTCTAGTCTCCTTCCACACTTTTGTTTACCCTCATCCTCAAAGGGTGATCAGCTGTCTGGATTCCTGAATAAGGAAGTGCCCCTCTATGGGGCTAATGTGTATTGAGGGCTGGGAGCCCTGAAGTCTGTTGCCCAGTCTTGATAGGGGATCTATATCATGGCCTGCCCCTCCAGTCTTAAGTATTTTAGACCTGGTCTAAATAGGATTCCTAGGTACCTGCCTCAAGAGGGCAAGTCCCCCTGCCCCCCCAATTCCCATGGTCCCAGTACCTGAGGGAATGTCGATGCTGGCAATGGGCACAGTGACTCCACCCAGGACCTTCAGGATGCTCTGGAATGGCTCCCGAACATCCCCTTTGAAGCTGAAGCCAAAGATGGCATCCACGACCAGCTCATAGAGCTCATCAATCAGCATGGGCTGTGAAGGGACAAGAGGTCAAGACTGCCGTCACCAGGAGAGGGCTCTCTGCTGCCCCACAGAGTAGACCATGCACAGCAACCCAAGTACAGCGAATTCATTGTGAGGCCTACAGTGAGTGAGAGTTGGTCACCGATTAGGCAAGCGGAGCGCAGACTTGTGATCTGTTCTGAGGTACCAGCTCATCACGGGGCAGCCCAAGATGGTGTCCACAGGGCAGGGCTCTGGTGTCAGCTCTGCCCCCATCTGATCCTGTGACTGGACAAAGAACTTACTCTCTCTCTACCTCAGTCTCTCCACCTGTGAAATGTGGCTTGTGTCTTTCCAAAAAGGGGGGTCCTCAAGTTTCCTACCCCTAAATCCACGTCTGCAGAAACGGTTTAGGGAGCAACAGTCACTGCCGCTCCTGAGGGGCCAGGGATGTGTTGACTGCATATTGGGGCTGAGGAGTTGACCAGAGAGACCAGGGAGCTGCAAGTGAAGGAAAGTTCTAGAGGGGACTCCTGGGGTGCACCTTACAAGGAAGGAGACGGGTCTCGTGCCAGTTAGATTCAAGTAAGATCTTTCAGGCAGCTTCCCTGCCCCCTGAGAGTTTTAGCCAAACTCCTAGACAAAAGCACAACAACCTGAAAGTGTGTGTGTGTGTGTGGGGGGGGGTCCTGGACCAGAGCTCCTACCTCCAAGGGCAGGTCGCTGAGGAAAGGGATGTCCATTTTCTGGCACTGGGTCACCAGCGCGGTGAAGAGTGGCTTGTTGGACCTTTTGGGGTAGTAGATGGTTGGCTGGTAGCCCTGGGAGGGAAGGAAAAGAAAGGTGGGGTTCGATCCCACATCCTAGAACGCTCTTGCCTGACCCACGGCCCCTGCCCAAGTACTCACAAAGAGCTTGAGGTGTCGAGCACAGACCAGGCCATCGCCTCCATTATTGCCGGGGCCGCAGATGACCAGGACAGTGGGAGGGCTCCTGGACATGGACGTGGGGGGATAGGCCTGGGGGCAGAGCCGGTGGGGGTTCGGTAGTTAGCACCCAGGCTTGGCTCGGCGGTCCCTGGCCTCGTGGTGCCGTGCCCAGAGCCTCGGACAGGGACGCTCCTCTTGCCCCTCCCCTCATCCTCCGGCAGGGCAGGTGGCGCACTGACCTTGCCGATGGCCGCGGCACAGCTCAGCCCGGCCAGCTCCATGAGCTGGTCCACGCTGAACTGGTACTCGTTGAACAGCTCCTGGTCCACCGCCTGGGCCTCCTCCTGGCTGCGGGAAGCCTCGGCCTGAGCCCGGCGCTCGGGGGCGCCATCGCGCAGGGGCCGCGGCCCCTGCCCAAGTACTCACAAAGAGCTTGAGGTGTCGAGCACAGACCAGGCCATCGCCTCCATTATTGCCCGGGCCGCAGATGACCAGGACAGTGGGAGGGCT